ACGGTAATTTTGCTAATTTTTCCGGGGAACATATAAACACTAGTATCTGCAGATTAATCATCAGGGGAGTGAGTATGCCTAGAAATTCTCAAAAACAAAATTACAAGTTTTCATACTATACACAGCTCTAAATAGCGAAGTCCAAAACTTCAATTTGACATGCAAAACATAAATCTTCCCAAATTTTTGCTGTACAGCATGATCCTGAAATTCAAGAAAAACCCACATAAAAAAGAGACAAAAATCCCAACTACGAGTATCCATTGGCATGAAAACCCACCAAGAATTCTTCCACGACAGCAGGGAAAAATGGAATCTTTAAAAAGTTCAGAAAATGGTAGAAGAATGTCAAGAACTGTCAGCCCACGATAAGCCGAAATTAAAGAAATTCATGCAGCACATCAGATTAAAAAAGATTCTAACGAAAACCCAGAAAAATTCGAGTACAATTACAGAGAATTTCTCACTCTGACAGCAGGAAAGAGAATGGACAAGGAAATACACCTACTTACCAAACAAGGAAAAAAAAAGGACAAAATAGCAGAAAGAAACAAGCCAACTAATAACATATTAATACCAACGCAAACTAGGCCGCTATTTATACTACCTCAATCTCAATGGGCGCTTCTGAGTTCTGACGTGGAATTTTAATTATCTTTTTTTTTTTTCCAAAACGGCAACATCAATGGAATTTTAATTATCAAGATGTATAAAAATTTTGGAAGAGTGAGTGAGAAAGAATCAAGGTAAAAGTGATAAAGCGCGAGTTCAGCGCGACACCGGTGTACGTTGATCTTTGAAAGTTGTACCTTTAAAAATGTTGCAAGCAGGAGGGAATCAACGGATTTGATTTCTCCAATGGGTTTTCTCTCCGTATCGCATAATTGCTTATTTAGATGCATAATATAAATAATCCAAAGTAGAGGAGCCCAGCTCGGAAATAAACTTTAAAGGATAATTTATGTTTTTTTGCATTTGTAAATTTTCTCTAATTATATATTTTCTATAATTAACTTTAACTTTTCAAAAATCTCACACTCAAAAGACATCTTAACGAGTGGCGAACAGGCAGGCACAGACTCTGTGATTAACTGAGTCTACTAAGTAATCAAAGTTATAAATAAATGGTACTATGATAGACCGGATTCATGTAAGCGTGCAAGGGATTCATGCATATTTTTTTCTTGGTAACAAATGTATAATTATTAGTTGAATTAAGGTAGGTTTAGTATCTTTGTTTGGATTGCAGTTTTTCCAACAAAAAAAAAAAATTTAAGTTTTTCGTGATTACGTTTCTCAATTATCTTTTTAAATCGACTATATTTTTTATATAAAAACTCCAAAAAAAAAAAATAGCACTCCAAACCAGATATTTTTTATTCATATATACATTTCTCCAAGATTTTTTAAAGTTAAACAACGAGATAAATTTTCTTATTTTGCATGGAAAGAAGTATGTAGTTATAATGTGTAGAAAGTAAAGATAGAGATAAAAGTGAAAATATTTCAAAAGTTAAACAAACACCAAAAAAATGAAGTAAGAAAATATTTTCAATAAACTAACCAAACAACTGAAAATGATGAAAGGGAAATGATTTTCATGGAAAATTACTTCCACGGAAAATATTTTTCCAAGGAAAACATTTTACTTCCAACCAAACAGACCCTAAATCAGACGTGATTGGTGAATTTTTCTTGTTGGTAACAGAAATATAATCTTACTTATTAGAGAGGTTTGTTAATCAAAAGATTAAATGATGGGATACGCTGTTCATGCCGCAAATATCTTCTCATTACGCATTTTCCATGCAACTTCGCGTAACGTTTGTGCATATCCACTGTTTTTTTCCCCCCTGTTTTTGGCAAAAGTCAGAAAACACATCCATCAGAATTCTTCTAAGAGGTGGGGCATCTTAGTTTTTTTCTCAGCAAGTTTTGGAATGAGATTAAATGTTACTAAATTTTAAGGCGGGTCCATCATCTTTATTTTGGCATATAATAAAGAATTTGTCTAACCTCAGTGGATAAACATGAAGTTAATCTTTTTCGTAAGCGTGAAGTTAATTTTAAAAAAGTATTTCAAGCGTAATATATAAATGTCAGCGTGTGCATTAATATGAATATTAAGCATACCGTGTGCACGCTAACAAGTTTCGGACCAATCTTAGAATACAATATCTACGTAATGTATAAAATAGTTTTCGAACATGACGACCAACAACATTTTGAATTTTGAAGTATGGTTTATTTTATACATTACGTACATATTCATTCTAGCAAGAGATTCGAGCTTCTGAACGGGGATACAGTTTAAAAAACAAAATAAATTGAAAGATTTAGATTCAAAATCTCTTACTTACAATCCCTTTTACTTTTATCGCCTATCGCAATCCTCCGTCTTTTGTATTATCTGCCATCAGGCGGACCTCCTCCGATCTTAATAAAGTTTCTACACTCTTTCTATCAAAAAAACAAAAAAAAAAAAGGATTTGGTTTGAATAAGTTGCATTGGCTAATGATTTTTCGTCGTAGAAAATGATTGATCGTTTTCTCACGTTAAAATTTAGATCAAGATAAGACTTGCCAAGTCTTCCAACCAAGATATGAAGTCAACCACAGGATAAGTCAAGACCCAAGAATGATTGGTTCCCACAAAGTAAAATTGATGTTCAAGGAAAAAGCTGGAGCTAGGAAGGGACTTTGTGGGGGGATAATTTATCAAATTGAAATACAACAGCAAAAATTGAATAGTCGACCATTGGACAAGTCATGAGAGCAATGTAGGACATTGTTTTGTTTTCTTCCACGCAGAAAGCAAAAGGCTAGCCAACCAATTATTAACCAATTAAGAAAATGGTTGTTTGAGAATAGATTCTAGGATAAATGTTGAATTAATGGAATCCTTTTTTGTGTTGGACAGCGACTAGCATTGAAACTTAACGTTCCAACCAAGGATGAAAAGTCTTGGTGGCTTTATCTTTGTGGTTTTTATCTATGTTTTCAGAACCGGACCGGATATCGACTCGGCCGAGGTCAGGGGTCAGGGGTCAATGGGTTCGACCGGGAGTCGATAGGGGTCGAACCGGATGACGTCATAAATAAAAATTATTTAAAAATTAAATTATTGTATATAAAATATCCAATAACATATTGATATTAATAAAGGTATATTCATATATATTTGATGTTTCAAATATATTTAACAAGAAAATACAAAGAAATTAGAACAATCAAGTAACAATTTATATTATTTAATAAACATTAACAAGTTTAGAATTAAAATTATGGATTTAATTGAAAAATAACATCAAATTTTAGGACAATATTTATAAAGTATGAAATATTTGAGGTATATTAATGAGTTTTCACAATTTAGGGGGCCAAAACATAATATTAAAAAAATTTGAACTTTTTTTTACAAAGGCTCCTGTTGGACCGGTTTTTCCGGGTTTGTACCGGTCAAACCCGGTTTTTGACCGGAGTTGACCGGGTCTTGAATCTCCCGGTTCTGATGACTAACTCGGATCGGATACTTGGCCGGTTCCCGGTTCAACCGGTCGAACCGGCCGGTCCGGTCCGAGTTTGAAAACACAGGTTTTTATAGCATGGAACGGCACGTTACTTCCAACTATATTCCTTCAGCCTGCTTCACAATTTGGTAAACTCATGGATCACTGTGTTTGGATTGCTAATTTCTTTTTTTTTTTTCTGAAATTTTTGTAGAAAAATGTACTGTAACAATTTGATATTCTATGTTAGATAAAAAGGTAATTGAAAAAATGTGTTTACGGAAAACGTAAAAATTATGCTGGCATCCTGCACTTAATATACTGTGGATTCTTGGCACACAAGATGAAAGATAAAAGGTGGTTTCTATTCAATTTTTTGTCTCCAAAATTCGAAGATTTAACGCTTTAATTATGGAGTGAAATTGTTAAAATTTTACACTGGGGAAAGCCCAATACTCCATAGGCCAATTGAACACCTTGTAATTTCACCCTACTTTGTAATTATTGAAAATGGAAATTTCAAGAAAAAAAGCTCATTAGACGGATTGCCATGCAGAAACTAATTTAATAACATTTATCTTTGTATCAAATTCCACGCTTTATACATACCAAAATTAATTGGGAGCTAGATTGGTTTGGTTGGCCAGTGTACTTGCAAATAACCACTTGTAATACATCAATTTGATTGGATACCAAATCAATGAATTGAGAGGGACATTGCACCTTCAGTTGGTTGCCAGGATTTGACTTGTCCTATACAAATAAATGAGCAGGGAATTTCTAACTTCCTTCCAAGAAAATCCACATCCAACTACTCTTGATCCTAGCCAAAAGGCCGAGAAAGCTATAGAAAAATTGGTGAAATGAGAACTCCAACTCTTATTTCCTTTGCCTTTTCCGGATGTTCTCCCTTATCTTCTCTTCCCTGAAGACTAAATAAGCAAACTCCATCTTTTCTTTCTTTTGCCTTTTCTCGCAATAACACCAAAAAAGAGAATTTTTTGGTGACTTGATTTCTTGTGATATTCCAATCCAATGGATGATGGATGAATGTAGACAGACGCCATTGAAAGCTAGGCGCAGTTGAAAAAATTCTAACACTTTGTCTAATGGGAACTAGGGTTTTGAGTCTTGCTCCTAGCAATGCATTATATACATATATGTATTGTTGACAAGAGAATCCGTAATCACGATCTGAAAATGCGCACCGGATAAACCCTGTCCCGTGCATTATATTGGCAACAATGGCAGGTCAGCTATTCGAAATGAGTCCATCACTGGTAACTAGCAATTTGGATAGACAACTTGTAAGGATTATAAAATCATATAGAGGCCATCAATGCATTTCAACAAGAACAAGGAGGGGAAAATGATTGTTCAAGGCCTACAAAATTGTACTAATTAATTTCAATGGATAAACTTGCAGAGTGTGCAAATCCTATCCTTGACCAGGCTTGGTTCAACTATACTATTCTATAGCATGAAGGTCTACTACACTTTTGTCAAACACGATGGATTAGGAACCATTCGTCCTTGAATTGTTCCATGAGCGTTTTTGCAATCGGAAGTGGTGGTACTCTGATCTTCACTTGAAAGAATATAAATATCATTCAGAATTATATTGCTACAGGGAACTGTCTCACTGCAATCTAATTTCACCGCCACCTTATTCTTTGATGTTCCAATCACCTGTCTAAATGTGATGTCATGAATTTGCACTGCAGATTCCTACGGCCAAAACATGAATAAAGTGAGATGCAATAAAAAAAAGATACATTTACACACTGCTATTACATATGAAAAAGTAATAAAAGTTGAAATTTTTTTTAAAAAAAAACTGGTTTTTCAAATATTATAAAAATACTCTAAAAGTAATTTAAAATTTTTTATAATGTTTACAAATATCCCAAAATATACTTTAAAAACTCTGCTATAGTAAAATTTTTTAAAAACACCCCAAAAAACAGCTAATCTAAATGGAGCCAATGAATTTAATATCGCCAGGGTAGACAGAATCAGAAAATTCATATTGAGGGGGTGGATTTTAACATATCTAAATCTAAACATATGACATCTAAAAAACTTCATGTTTAAATTTCTAAAGAGCATTTTTTTAAAAAAATCTTTAATCTTCTCTGGGAGAACAATCAAATTTCCTAAAACTTGGGCCCCCTTCCCCTAATATCGAACTTGATGCTTTTATATGGAAGTTATCAAGATTCTGCATTCTAAACAATTTACCATATATTTTCACTAGCAACCAAAGATATGTCAGGGTTTGGACAATTGACAAATAATTATCATAGGGTATGATATGTCCAAAAATAAAAGATTAAAGCAAAATGTAGAAATTCATAGCAACATCATGAGTGCAAAGTGGCACTACTACATAAAAAAAAAAAAAAAGACATTATTATTTTTTTATAGAATGATTAATACTTAAATTATATGAAACAATCTAAATACATATTATAAGTACAATGATGAATACTAAAAGTATGTGAAACAATCCACAGAAGAAATTGTTAACCTGAGTTTTGCATTTTTCATGGTCACAGTAGAATTGATCAATGATAATGGGATTATCTGCATCCTGCAACATTATTCTCTCGTAGATTATATTTCTTGCATAACCCTTGCCACCCTGCTTGAACCCAATTTATATTCATCATGTGTTATGTTTCAATATATGAACCCTGATAAGAAAAGATTAAACATGTACTACATAGCAGTAAAAATCACAAAAAAAAAATGCAGTAAAAAAAAAAAGCATCTTAATTGGCAAACCATGCATTGAATTTAATCATGGAAAACACAAATTACCTGCCACGACTTAATCCTAGCACCATTCTCTGTGTTTCTGAACACAACATCACTAACGTAGATGTTTTCAACTTTGTCTTCTGCACCGTGCTTGCCTAAACTCCCAATACTGTAATGGGATTTGGCCAAAACAAAAAAAAAATGGTCGGATGCAAATTTCAGAAGCATTTTCTTTGTAGGTTCCAATATAATTGTTTTCAAAACCACCTTCAAGGATGTTCAAGAATTCAATTTATTCTAGATTAGAGCAAATTCAAAGTTGACAAGAACACATAACAAACATTTAATTAGCACAAAAAGAAAAAAAAATGGGTGAAATCAATTGACTTTAAGCAATATGTGTTGCTCCAAGAAAGGAAAAACTGCAAATCGAAAAAACGTAAGGAAATAACTGATTCTTACCTTATGCCATGCCCAGGGCCACAAAAGATGTTGGTAACCCTCACATTTGCAGATCCATTTACAATTGAGACGCAATCGTCGCCTGCCCATCATGCATGTACCGTGGCAATCAATTAAATTGCTTTGCATGAATTCGTTTTATAAAGTCAACAAAAATTTGCCAATTTGCCATTGGATTAATCATCTTTATGCACGTTTTCAAAAAAAAAAAAAAAATCATCTTTATGCACATATTCCTAAGTTATTAAAGTGTCTTCCTTAAGATCACTAAAGAATATCCCACAATAATCTAGATGAACTAATATAAGATATACTAATTCACACTTGGTAACCAATCTTGCTGGAGCCGAGAGGGGTTAATTTCACTTTGCATCTTTCAACTTTATCCGAATTCACATTTTAGTTTCTAAATTTTAAAATGAGATACTTTAGTCCCTAAAGTATGAAATATGTCTTGCTGGAGTTCTTGAAGTATCACATTATAGTTCCTAAAGTATAAAATCTATCATACTTATAAGGCCTGTTTGATAAAACTGAAGTTTAAAATTTGAAATTTGAAAATTAAGTGTCGAAAGTATTAAGTTGCTATATTGATTAAATTATATATGTTTAACAACTAATTGAATTCGAAAACTGGATGAGTTGAGTGGTGCGAAAAAGGGAATGTAACTGTTCAAGACCTCTCAATTATACTGAGAAAAAATTATAAAAAAAAAAGTGTCCCATTAAAGTTTATAGGCCAAAGATGAAAATTTGGATATAGTTGAAGGATGCAAAGTGGAATTAACCTGAAGTCTAATATTTTGAAGCACATGTAAATGTAAATATTTTGAAGCACATGTAAATGTAAATAGAAAAAAAAAAAAAAGAAAAGAAAATACCAGTGCCAATTTTGCAACTGTCTATGGTAACATCTGTAGAACCGGTGATATGGATACCATCTGTGTTTTTGCTATCTGCTGGTGCATCAATATGTATGGTTGAGACAGAAACTGATCTTAGATTGTTGAGGACCAGATGCATTTTGGGATTGTCCTTGAAGTTCAAACTAGTTATTTGAACATCATCCGAGTCTGAAATCTCCAAAGCCTGCAACCCCAAAAAACAAAAAGAAGAAAAGAAACTTGGGTGATGGTATATAATATTTGTTTTTCCTGTGAATGTTAAAGAATGGAAACTTACGAGTTTATTGCCAAAATAACACTCTTGTTAAAAAATATTCCCAATGTGATTTACTTTCAAAATTTATTCCCATAATGATGTTATTGTTGCCATCTAGTTATCCTGATTACCATGCACGATAACAAGAAAAGAAAGTTCAAATCTAATTTAAAGTATCCAACATGAACTAAAAATTTAAATTTTTTTTATTATAGAGGCACAAGAAGATTGCATAACTTTTATAATTTCTTTATAATTATTTAAAATAAATTCTACCATTATTGACCTTGCTATTATTGGGCTCTAATTTTTTTAAAATGTATCAAACCTATTGCATATATATTTTTCAAAAAATAAAATTTAAAAATACAAAAGTTGCAACAAAAATTTCAACAAAAATTGTAAGCGATTAAAAAACTTCAAGACTATCATATTTATTTATGTTATCATTCCTACTCCTTAAAAAGACATGAGAATAATTTTCATTTGCCTTGAGATTATCAACTCGAGAAGCATATTTTTTAGATGCTGTTAATATAAATATTGATTTCTTAGAATTACGAGTGTGTTTGGATTGAAGATTATTTCACTTTATTTACACCTTATTTACACACACTGACTTGCTTATATCATCAACACATTTTTCAATGACCTTTTTTATCTCACATACATCATATCAAAAAAAGTACTACCGTAAAAATATCTCAAATATAGGTTTGACAAGGGAAAGATAATGAAACAAAAAAATGCGGGAAGATTTAGAAAGAAAATTGGAGAAGATATTAGATGAAAAAGAGAAATCGAATGTGCTTTTATCTCCATCCTGACACATATGCTGCCTAAGTGGTAAAAAAAAGATTATAAAGGTAATATATTATAAAAATAGATTACTTTGGGTATATGTTTTGGAAGAAGAGTTATTTTGGCAATAAACTCGGAAACTTACAGTTGGCTTCCTGCGACCCTGTGAGGGGAAAAAAAGAAAAAAAATTTGCATGAGAAATATTGCGCAATTTGAAAGAAAATATAAGCAACGGCTATACTTAAGAGCTATTTCTTCCTTCACAGCACTTAGAAAATATTCCCTTAGAAATAAAATTAAAAAAAAAACTTTAACAGGCTTCCAAAATCATACTGGTCAGTGTTAATTTTGTGTTGTAACATGAAAATTTAATTTCTATAGTTGAAAACAGTAAAACTTAACCGTGTCATCAAGGTATTTGGGATACCTCTGCCAAAATGCATTGCACTTCTATCTTTGCTAGATACTAGCTAGTATAGCCATAAAACTTGTTATAACAAATGCAACAAAACAAGAGAACAATCAAGAACACTAGAATAATTTTGGGAGAATCAGATTTTATTAGGGTTTGGAACGAATCAGCGAAACGCAACATAGTCGAATTGCCATAGGTCGAAGACCTGACTCAAGGCATCCCAACAACACTTCCACATATCAAAATGAACAAAAATAAGGACATAATTGATGGATGGTTTTGTCAATTATGTGTGGTTTTCTGACTTAGTTACATATTTAGTAAAGAAGAGAAATGAATCCATTAAAGCTTAAGTTATTTTCCATGGTTTTATTAAATTGGAGAGTGCATAATGCTTTGCCTTTTCATATTTTATTAGGAGAGGAGGCGGAGAAGGGGGTGGAGATGTTAGACTACACTTGACATAACACTTTCTATATCAAAAAATAAAATCAAATAAAAAATAACACTTTTTACATCAAGCTAAACAGCAATAAGCATGCTTAATTTCCTTTTTTTTTTTTTTCTTTTAGTCTAAAGGAGACTCCGAACCCTATAAAAAGAGAAGGTCAAAGTGAGTGGGTTTAAGAGTTGAATCAAACTCTTATGATCTCCTATCTAATGTCTCTGTCACCTGAGCTAGGTTTTGGGGACTATAAAGACATTTAATTTTTTTTAAAAAAAAAGGAGTAATTATTTTCTGTCTTTATGCAAGGTTTGTTATTTATTCCCATAATTATTGAAGAGGACATATAAAGTGATTAATTGTTCAAGATAAGAAAAAGAATATTCTTATTATTGTGAGCGTGGCTCTTACAAGCTTTTGCCACCATTTTTCTCCACGGCCATGAATTCTGCCACCACCATACAGTCTAAGTCCTCTTAAACTTTTGAAGTGGATCCACATCCCACAATACCCACCGATGCACCTCCAGTCTGTAGGGTTCACAGGTGCTAAAAGTTCTCCACTTATCTGCAGAGAAAATGAGTTTGGAGCTATGTTTTCAGAACCGGACCGGATAGCGACTCGGCCAAGGTCAGGGGTCAGGGGTCAATGGGTTCGACCGGGGGTCGATAGGGGTCGAACCGGATGACGTCATAAATAAAAATTATTTAAAAATTAAAATATTATATATATCATATCTAATAATATATTGATATTAATAAAGGTATATTCATACATATTTGATGTTTCAAAAAGATTTAACAAGAAAATACAAAGAAATTAGAACAATCAAGTAGCAATTTATATTATTTAATAAATATTAACAAGTTTAGAATTAAAATTATGAATTTAATTGAAAAATAACATCAAATTGTAGGACAATATTTATAAAGTATCAAATATTTGAGGTATACGAATAAGTTTTAACAATTTAGGGGGCCAAAACATAATATTATAAAGTTTGAATTTTTTTTTTAAAAAATTACTGTTGAACCGGAAAAACCGGGTTTTTCCCGGTCAAACCCGGTCAAACCCGGATTTTGACCGGCTTTGACCGAGTTTTAAAATTTCCGGTTTTCTAAGTTGACTCGGACCGGCTACCTGGCCGGTTCCCGGTTCGACCGGTTCGACCGGCCGGTCCGGTCCGAGTTTGAAAACAGAGGTTTGGAGTAATACAATCAATTGCTACTCATGTTAGGGTTCATACAATATACTAACGTTAGGCTGGAGGCTTTTTTTCCTCCTTACCCTAAACCGTCATCGCATATACACTGTCAATTTAATTACTCCCTGCGTCCCAAATTATTTGTCAATTTTTGAGAATTCAACTTTTTAATGATTTACCGATATTGATACTTATTACTAAAATCTTTTTAAACTTGACAAAGAACATGTCATCCTTGGTGTTCTTTCTCTTTTGCTAACATAAGTAAGACTGATAGTATTACTACATTGAGCAATTACGCTCTAGATCTTTGGTTGGATGAGGAATGGGTGAATCTCAATCTTCTTCGGTGCTAGTGCACCAAAATAGCTTGTAGGACTGTTGTCCTTTTTGATTGAACCTTTGTTCAAAAACTGTATTGTTTACACTATATAAATGAAGCTATCGTTTCGACAGGAAAAAAAAAAAGAAGACAAAGAACATGTCATCCACCAAACGATAACGAATAAGAGTGAAAAAAAGGGTAAGAATTAAGCTATGACCTTTTTAATCGAAATATTTTCGGCCTAAACAGGCATAAACATGCAAAGACGAGAACTAAGAGCGTGTATTATTGCCTGTAAGAAATAAAATCAAGCTGAACTGAAAAAAGTAAGTCTGAACATAATTCTTTAAACAAGTAAGTCATGCTCTCATTTTAGCAGAAGATTAATTCCATCACAATTACAAAGACACCAAAATCCAATTTTAGATCCTCTATTCAATTTTCAAATCCAATTCATTGCATTGTGGCGCAAGAAGGATCCACATTTTGCTCCTATATATATATATATGGAACTTATTAATATACACACATCTACTTTTGAGTTTTTTAAAACAAAAAATTATAGTAAAAATAAAAGAATTTAATTGTCATTTTAGTTGACTACCTCAACATTGATGATTGGCGATCTACAGGGGCCTCTGAAGATCACCGGCTGAATGAAGAAACTTGTATTTGAAGGGATTTGCATGGTTGGAGCAGAAGAAGATGAATCTGGTGTGGACGTGCATGCTGCTTCCCATGCATGCTTGAAAGCCTTAAAAATCATCATGAAAATGACAAAATTATATCAAATCTTCATCCCCTTTATTTCATTTTTTTTCCTTTATACTATCTCCTAATATCAGTACTCTTATTTCTCCTGTGCAAAATAATAGCATGAAAACCACTTTGAATACATACATACATATATATATATATATAGAGAGAGAGAAAAAGCTGTGCCAAAAGGTTAAGCATTACGTTGGTATCGTCATTGTAGCCATCTCCAACTGCACCATAATCAAGAACATTGTACACAAATGATTGTGCCACCACCGAGGAAGGGAGAACAAATGCTGCAAACAGTATCGGGATAAAAACTCCCATAGCAACCCTACTAAGAACCAAATCAAGAAAGAAAAGAAAAAATTATGCTACACTCGAGTATTCTAATCAACACTAGAAATCAATGACCACATAATTAATCTACTATGATATATCTTATACAGACTAAACTAGAAAAACAACTTGTAATTTCTATGACTAACTTCAATTCTCATGTCTGTACAAGAATTGCTGGCGTCCAAATTCTTCTTACTCCAAGAACAATTTGGGTTCATACAATAACTCAAACAGAAAAAAGGGTTCCTGCATCAAACGAACATTTTCCGGATTTCTATTCTTTGTTTTAGATCAATTAATTGAGACGAGAGAGATAGATACCTAAGCAAATTCTATGTCAAGAACTAGTTGAGTCCTTAACAACTACTGCCAACTACCTAGTAATAGGATATGACCAGAAATTATGTTTTTCCGGGTCCCTATTTTCGAAAACATCGCACTTGAATTCCAATTCAGCTACGAAAAAGACAAAAAAAAAACTGGTAAAACAGGAATTATCTAAAGCTGGCAGAATATGTCCACGCAAGCAAGAGTGGGGTTTGTCTGGATAGGGCAAGATATCCTATGATTGGTCCGTAATATTTGATCAAAAAGATTGGTTTTATTTGAGTCCACCCAAAACTCAGACCATATAGGGAAAATTACAAGAAGGGCTCTAAAAAATAGGTTGCAGTTTTTGGGTGGGAAGAAAATTGAGGGAGAAGAATTAGGGACAGAATCAGTCCGTAATGGCTGTAACAAGTACTGCTGCTGCTCAGCTGAGATGTTTACGGCCTAATCTCTCTAATCTAAGGCCTCTGTATCGGTTTTCTGGTGATTATGCCCCAAGATTTCTAGCCATGGCAACGCCACAAAAGGTAATTAGAGGTCCATTTCCCTTTCTTGTCATGCAAAATTTTAGCAGATTGAATATTCAATGTTAATCTTCTTCTTCTTTACACTTTGTAGTTTATACTTTCCCCTGCCAAATTCAGATTAGTATGTAGTAATTTCAATTCTGAAGAAAGATGGAAGGAAAGAAGAAAATTGTGTACAGCCCAAATGATTTTTTTTAATAACAATGAAATTGGTTTTAATTATTTGCGATTGGTTCTAATCTTCAAGACATCCCATTCAGGTATCTTGAATTATTAAGCCAACATCATTTTTAAAATTTCATAAGAAAATATATCAATTTCTGGGTAAACCACTGTTTGTAGTGGAAATCATCTTATGATTAAAGGAAAACAAATTGTCTTATGATTATTAAACTGTGGTGGAGGTCGTGGCAATTCTATAATAACTTGCTAAAATGGTAATTAAAGAAAAAGAAGAAGCTTGAAAAAGATAAGAATAAAGTAGTTTAATTGGTAAACAAATGTTTTTGATCCTAAATTATTATATGAACAAAGCCTAATTAGTAAGTACTCATATTACAATACATGTTCAAATTACTAAAAAAAAAATTTGAAAATACAAGAAGTTATGCATTTCAGATTGGGAATGTGATTGATTTTCAGGTAAACAAATACGATAGCAAATGGGAAAAAAAATGGTTTGGTGCAGGCATCTTCTATGAAGGCAGCGAAGAAGTCGAATTTGATGTGTACAAGAAGTTGGAAAAGAGCAAAGTCCTAAGCAATGTGGAAAAGGCGGGATTGTTGTCAAAGGCTGAGGAATTTGGCATCACGCTTTCATCCATAGAGAAACTGGGCTTATTTTCCAAAGCAGAGGATTTGGGCCTGCTTAGCTTACTGGAAAAGGCTGCCGGGTCTTCGCCGTCCGACTTAGCCTCGGCGGCACTGCCGATTTTGGTGGCCGCCATTGTGGCCATTGTGGTGATTCCCGATGATTCCGCAGGCCTCGTGGCGGTGCAAGCGGTGGTGGCCGGTGCACTTGGGGTTGCTAGTGCTGGGCTTTTCATTGGAGCCGTACTTTTGGGTGGGTTACAAGAGGCCGAGTGAGAACTTCTCTAATGTACGTAACTTACAACTATTATATTATTTTGGGATAGGAGAAAAAAAAAAAAAAAGAGGAGTTCCCCCGGGGGGCTTGAAGGTAAAAAATGAAGAATATGCTTGGTTTTGGTAATTTACTTTGTCATATTTTCATCTTTGGCCAAATACAATTAATTCCCTTTAGGGGCTGCCTTTAGGGTCAATTGAGATCCAATTTGTTAATACTTGCACAATTCAAGGAGTAATTCGCCATTGTTTTTGAGTTGCATCATCGTCATGTCTCTTCTATTTTATTCTTTTTTCTTTTTACTTTTAGAGTTAAAAGTAGAAAAAACAACCCAAGGCGAACATTTAAGTTATTTTCAATAGATTTATTGACGTTTCAAAAAGCTTCTTCTTTTTTTTTCTTTCTCCGGCCAAAGCGGTGGGGTAGATGCATAGACGAGATGGAGAAAGAGGGGCACGGACTCAGTATAATTGTATTCTGTGCGGTTTCGTCCAATTATTGTATATGTTCAAAATTTTAATGTACAAATACATCAAGATGTTGTATTGAATATATGTTAAATATTTTATTCAAGTACAATTGTATGCTACTTTTATTTTGAATATAACAATTTAATATAATTATGCATCAAGTAACATAAAAAGTATAACAATCGAACTGATTCGTATCAAACTCCAGCCGCACTAGATCCTTTTCTCCAAAATGAACATCGATAAGGACATTTCATTTCATTTTGGTTAAAGGAGATTTGGACTCTACAAAGGAAAAGAAAAAGGAGAAGGCCTGAGATTCTAATCGAGAAATCTCATTCTCACAGTTACCTGTCCAATATTTTCTTATGATATAAGCACGATAAGTGAAAACTCATTTGCTTTCGAATCCTTAATTTTGATAAATATTTTTTTTAACCAAACGATAACAGAATTCATCGATGTTAAAAAATCGAGAAACTACGGAGGTTGAGCAAGAGCAAAAGCAAAATTTACACATTGAAAAATTCACACATATGAAGAGATTATTTTGGTTTTCAATACAACTTAAACTGTATCATGAATTAAAACATATTTTCCCAAAATATATCTTGACTTCCTTAATTGTAACTTAACTATGCATAAAATTTTTTAAGGTATTAATTATGCACCAAAATCCTCCTAAGTGGTTGATCTTGATTAAGTTTAATTTATCTACGTCATTTGATATTCTACCATGACCCCAATATAAAGAAATATGAACCATTATTAGCTAGCAACTTATTTTTTTTTAATTTACAATTTTTGGTTTCAAAATTTTATTTTGTTTTGGCTTTGTGGTTAAATAGTTATTAAGAGCAAGAGCAATGTTATCAATTTTTGACATTTGATAGAAATATTTAGTTTTGTCAAGTTGATAAGGGAGGTAAGTGCGAATTTAAAAATTTTAAGGAAACTGAATGATATTATGACCAATCTCAAGGAGGTTTTTGAAATTATCCCTTAAAATAATGCATCGTTGAAAAGATCTTTGAAAATAATGCACCAAACCTTTACTGGCACTGGCTTTTGCACAGCCCTACTCAACGCCAACTAGGACATGGGTCCAAACCGTTGTCAGGAAACGGGTCGATTTTAAGCAAAATGTATAAAATGTAATTTATTTTTAATAATATATAATTATAAAATAAAATTTTATAAATTCTACACATGATATACAAGATATAATTTGAACCTTACAATTTTTTTTTTTTTTTTTTTACCAAATCTTGATCTTGAATTTTTAAGAAAGGTTGCTTCCTGCCACTCCTCCAACCAAGCCCTAGCAACCTCTAATTAACTCGAGTTGATAAAAACTTTTTTGCCCTTGGTCCAACATGCAATGAGTAGAGTCAGGATGCCAATATAAGGACGAATTTCTAAGAATATTGCTAAAATAAAAAATTGTTCGAAAAGTGGTGTGATTTGAGGTATTGTTCCGATTTAAGGATCGCCGCAATTACAAAATGCAGCTATCAATAAAAGTACTATTAATTTGTGTTTATTTTGGCTGCCTTTATTTTAGCCAATTTTCTCCTTTTTTTTTTTTTCAATGTTTCGCCGCTCATCAGATGAGTGCGAATGAGTGCGAAGCATTTGTACTTTTTGTTCAATTTTTTTTTTCCTGACGCCTTTTGTTCAGAGATGTTCCGTCGTCAAGTGCTGCCCTGCCAATTATTCGGCCCGCCCTAGAACAGCAGAATTCAATGTCTGACAGATCAAAAGTAGCAATGCAATGCGACTTGAATCACTTTCTTAGGAACATGGATGGGATAGGAATTTATTTGGATGATTTATTTGAAATAATTATTATAATATTTTTTATAACATGATGTATCATATATGTGAGATAAAAAAGTGATTAAAATTTATAAAATAAATTATTTTATCTGAAATCATTTCAAACCAAACAAAGTAAATTCCGGGGGGTATGCAGAGTCTTACGCTGGAATTTTTGTTTTAGATTTGCTTGTAAGATAGTGTAGGAACTTTTGTTACAATCTAGTTCGAGTGGTCCGCTCCCCCTCTTTAGGGTATGGCGATCTTCCTGACAATCAGGGTTCGAGTCCCGCTGTTAATGTGTTCGGAGGATGGGGCCTCTCCATCCGGGTCGGAGTGGGATTAGTGCCTGTTTGATAACATAAAAAAGTGCTGAAACTGAATTCATTCAAACATTCAGATGTTGTGGGTGTTTGATAAATAAAAATTCACCTGCTGAACTTATTAAGTGGTGCTGAATTTGTATGTATTTTTTTCAGCACAAGAATCGTAGCTGAATGCTTAATTTGATAAGAATCAAGAGATTTATTTCAATTATTTTATCTTATCTACCAAATATATTCCTATTTGTTAATTACATTCAAAATCCTTATCTAATTAAACAACCTAATATTCCCTATTCAAAATCCTTATCTAATTAGACAAAACAACCTGATATTCTCTATTCAAAATTTTTTTTTAACAATAGTATTTTTTTTGCAGTAATTTTCATCCACAAACATTTTTATTTTGATATATTTTTTTTTGTGCAAATAAATATTATTTATGTGATGCAGCTTATCCACACACACGTGGCTTTATGACACCATATCGAAATATTAAATAATGGTTGTCTAATTTTCGAAATCCTTCTCGTCCAAGATCAAAAGAAGAACGGTTTAACCAAGCACATGCAAGATTGAGAAATGTAATTGAACGTGCTTTTGGAGTATTAAAAATTTGTTTTCCCATTCTCAAAATGATGAAACCGTACTCTTTTCCCATACAAAGAAACATTGTCATTGTATGCATTGCTCTTCACAATCATTGTCATTTTCATACCTAACAATTTTAAGTTAATTAAATCATAAGTTCTATTTCCTTTTTGGATTAAAAGATAGAAGGGCAAAATTGTACAATTTAGTTTATTAAGCATTAAGTTATGAATATTTATCAAATACTATAAATAGGTTCAGCATTATGATTCAAACATTCATATATCTCTTTTCAGTGTTTAAAATTCAACAAATTAATTATTTCAGTATTCAGTATTCAGAATTCAGAATTCAGATTCAGTGTTATCAAACGGAGCCTTAGTCAGGCCCCGTAAGAATTGACCTGGACACCCACTCCGTCAGAAAAAAAGATAAAAAAAAATAATAATTAGCACACTTTGTTTTCTTTAATGTTCATATTTTCATCCTTAGAATTTAGCAACTAAAGTGTTTTCTATGCATGTGTGCCTGCACCAAGAGCATGAGACAATAGCTTGACCCGGTAAATGAAATTTGCGGCGTCCACTTTTTGTTTGCGGCGTCTACTTTTCTTCAATTCATTTGCGGCGTCAAAAAATTTTTTTTTTTTTTCCTGATTTGCGGCGTCAATTTTTCTTTTAACGCAGATTGCGGCCAAAAAAAAAAAATTTTAGTGAAAAAGCAATTTTTTTAAAAGTGGAACAGTGTATTTTTTTTAAAGTAAAACTGCAGATACCAATTGCGGTGATAGTTTTCCTACCATACATTCTACCTAACCATCTAACGAACGGTTGTAATTATGGCTCTAATTATTTTTTTAATTAAAAAAAAGCACTGAAGCCTATTATTTTTTTTATAAAAAATTATTTTCCTGACCGTCAATTTTTTTTTTAGATTTTTAAGGGTTACATTGTTTATATTAAAGGTTACACTGTGAGGGTTTGGAAATTATGGTTTCATGTTAGGTAAAATGTTAAACGCTAAATCTTGATTAAGCCTAATTTATTATCATTATTACATTCTATAAATATTGCTCAATGCTATATTATTTATTATTATTTAAATTAACATTAACATTAAAAATTTCAAAAATACGACTTAGTCAAATTTTATTAGTGATTTAAGAGCAATTTGATTATCATCTAAATTTATAAAATTAACATAATTCTAATATTATATATTAAATTTTTGATAATTCTGGTTTATAATAGAATTTTAATAATACGATTTAGGAATTTTGATTTTAAAATTAGGGTGACAAGGTTACACTGTGAGGGCTTGAAAATTAGGGTTTCATGTAAAATGTTAAACTCTAAACCCTAATTAAGCAAGGTTTTCTGAAAAAAATTACTTTTGTCGCGGTTATGCTTTATTAAAAAAATAAAAGAAATGTATCTCTGCTCATGAGATGAGTGGCGATGCGGAAAAACAAAAGATAAAAAACTTTGGAAAGAAGATAAGTTCCTTCGCCGCTCATGAATGGAAAAAAGATAAAACATTAGCGGCGAAGTTTTTGTAAAATAAAAAAAAAAAGTCACCGCTCATGTGATGAGCGGTGAAGCTATTGAAAAAAACAAAAAAAAACTAAAGCAATCCCAAAATAAATGAAAAATAAAAGTATTTTTATTAGAAGTCGCACGTTAATAATGCGGCGACCCCTAATTCCGAACCCATCTTCGAAGGACACCAATTTTCTGACAATTTTCAATTTTAACAATATTCTAAGAAATTAGCCCAATATAAGTTGATTTAATTTGACAAATATAGGTCACTTTCTTTTTTTATAAAATATTCGTGAGTCTCATTTTCGATGGGAGGTCTGAGTGACCTATAGTTCGTATTGAACTTTTTTCTACCGAAAACAAAAAAGTTAAGAGTTATCGTAATGAAAATTAAATTTCGTTGCTGATGTGTGAGATAAGTAGTCTATGGTCCCACTCAAACTTTTTTCTACTCAAAAAAAGAGGTTACTGTGATGGGAAAGTGGGAACAAGCTCAATAGCTATCACTAAAGTTGATGGGG